GCAACATGCATTTATCATTGGCAAAGGTTCCATACTTTAAATGAATTACTGTAATAGATGTGTCATGAAATAGCATCTTATTATCCTCCTCTTCTTCTATTTCCTCCACCAAGCAGGTCAAAGTCGATAACAAGTGTTAAGCTAAAGCGATATTTTTGAACAAATTAAAGGGATGAAGTGAGTTTTAAAGCTTTTGCTTTGTAGTACTTTAAAATGATTAACACTTTTTATTCTGGTTATGCCTCTAAACCCCTAAAATATTTCTTACTCTGCTGTTTTTTCTCAGGTAGGAAAGCCATTGGTTTCTTTACTGGCACTTAAGTTGTTCTCGATCAAGAAAATGTGTTTGAGCATTTATTATATTTGAAGTTGCTGTCAAAATTTGGAAAGTGATACCATCCCCACCCTTGGAGAATGTATAATATAGCTGGGAGATAAAACATTGATAAAAAAACAAACAAGTGTGAAGTAAAACAATATATACTAACACAAGAGAGAACCTATTCAGAGAAGAGATGGTCAAATGGTTCAAAACAACATAGTTGTGTAAATCAATGTCTAATGTAAATTATAAGATTTCCAATTGGCTTTATTCAGGTGTGCTTGAAAACACTGAAAAGGAAACATCCCCATTCTCCCACAAAAATATTTGCCAAGATAATAAAGACATTTTTTGGCTGTATGGTATGTTGATAGCTACCATGTCTACCAGGGTGGCTTGAGTGAAGTCATCAGAAACACAGAAGTGTAGGGTTCTGTTACCATGTTATTTTAGCTCTATTATTGAATCCTGAAGGAGACCAAACATAATCTAAGCACAGAGATGTTCTCTTGAAATTTGTTTCATACTGCCTCACCACTGGAGCCATGTATCTAAGAAAGTGGGAAACGATTGGTAGATCTCAGCTCTGCTGACCTGATGATATCTAGGAAAAAGACTAATTTCATTTCATGATTTATGTGAAGACAATGATGGCATGATAGCCACACATAGAGCAGTTATTCAGTGGACCACAAGATCAGAATTCCAAAATTCTCATATGACAAAATTTAACAAGATTAATTTTTAAAATGTTAATTTATTTATTGACTTGCATGAAATAAATACTCGCTAAATGAGATTTGGTTTAACTGTATTCAAACTTTGAACCTTCAATTGAATCTAAGACCATGTGCATCAAATTCATCTTCATAAGGAAATTACAAATGTAGGCAGTACTCTACATATAGTACCTAGGGCAAGGCAAGTGACATTTTGCTGAATTCCACTCTGGCCAATATATACATGGACTGTAATACAAAACAAAAGTTATGGAGTGATGGTATTTTAAGAAAGGTAAGCATCTACAAAATGAATGAGGTGTATGTGCATAAAATTCAGGCGAAGCATTTAACTTCACCCAAGTTGATCTAAATAGTTGAGAATGACTACAAACTTAACACAAGGTCACCCCTATTTTAACTATTTGTGACAGAACAAGCAGATGCTCCTAATCACCTCTAACTTCGAAGTTCTTATGTTTTGCTGCTAATCAGAAAGAGCAACTTTGTTTATTTTCAATTTCATTTACCCAGAGTTAGATTTTGATAGTTCGTTTTGCACTCAAGAGAACACTCAACTTCTATGTACTCAGATAGCTGCTGAATCTTACTTGACAGTTCTAGAAACTGATGTCACTTTCTATTGAACCAAAAGGAATAATGTTAATTTCAATCTAAATCTCCCCTCTAAGTCACCAGATATTTATATCACAATATTCTCAAATGGAAATTGAGAATTTTCAAACTAGCAAATTGAATAAATTGATTCCAAAAGATTGAATTTTAATCTATGAAACTAACTTTCTTTTTTGCCTGTGAAAATATTCTTGGTTGTATCCTCTGTTCTCAATCTTCCCTCATTTTCCTTTATCCAAAATGTACACACGAAACACACACAAACTCCACCTAAACACTAGCCACCTCTTGTTCTTCATATACCATTTGAACAGGACTGGAATTCATATTTATTTTGAAATTTGTGTTTATCATCTGAAACATTCTATTTGTTTCACCTAAATAATGCTGAAAAATATTTTGGTTGCCTATGAAATATATTCATAATGTACTTGAACTGCCTGGAGTCACTAAGACACCTGAATCATCTTTGCATATTCTATCTGCTAAGGTCCACCATCTTCTTAAATAGGGCAAGCCCACTTTCTAATCCATTTGTTTGTACTAAATTTTGATATATGTCTACCTGGTGATGTTGGAATTACCCCAATCCTATTAATATTTAGCTGAAGGACTTTACATAGTTCTGTGCTCATTAAGCAGTTCTCTCCTTTACCCAGCCATTGTGGATTTCTTGGGTAGCCCTGAATTTATCATAAATGTCTCAGTGAAGTTAGTCATCAGAAGAATTGTGATAAATGCATAAAAAGCTACTAACTTGGAAAGTCTTACTCTATGGAAAATTTTCTTTCTCCGGGAAATGGGTTTAGTGTTGAATCCTATAAATATGATTACAGATAAGGAAAAGATGGAAAATGGAAAAAAAGAGTGAAAGCATGATTGAAAGTTTACGTTTCTGCCATTGTTAGATATTGTTCAAGAGTTATCCAATCAAATGATTCCCCCTCTACCAGTGTGCTAAAATGTTCCAATGTAACAATATTTCTAATCCCTTTGTCACTGGCGGGGGGGGGGGGTGGGTACGGTGGACAAAAGGATCTCTAATTAGCTAGGGATTTTAAGAAAGGAAAGTAAATTTTAACAATTCAAGGGAGGCTGGAGCTAAAGGATTGACAAATGAGCACAAAGACTCAAGTAAACAAACAGTTTCAATGTACCCAGATGCCCTTTGGGTCTTGTTTGACAATCCCAAGAACATATGTCACTTTCTATTATGCACACTGATACAGAAATGGCTCAAAACTTTCACTGTTCTTTTTGCAATGTCAAGTGAAAATATAGTGTCTGTTGCTGAAAAAGACTCAGTGCTCAGCTGGTAGGTCACATGAGAGAAAGAGCAGGGAGAATAAAGTGAAAAACTAAACAAAACCAAAACTGTAAAAGAACTAAAAATAGGAATTGTCTTTCAGATGACAACAGTGTATAGTAATAGTTTATGGTGCATTTATCTCTCTGCTGTAACAATTTTAATATATGGTGCTTGATATTTAATGTCAAGCCCTTGCAAGATGAACAGCAGAGCAAAGGGACAGTCATTGAATGGAAAGACTTTCCAGTGGGCTCCTCTTTTTTTTTTCAAAAAAAATTAATAAAGGTTGAAATATTCTTAACATTGTTAGTAGTAGATGCTGGCATAGTCATACTTATCTATGTAGGACCCCAGAAGAAAGAGTGTAAGACACAGGAGAATATTGGTTTCAGAACCCAAGGTGTCCATATGGGTGGCACCAAACCACTGTCAGCTTTTCACATGTCAGTGTAGCAAAGTCAGTTTTTCAACCCTCTTGTTTGCTTTTCATATTGAATTAATTAATAACACATTTTTGACTTCTGTATCTGGTGAGAAATGTCAAACAATAGTAACAATTTCCTAGATTTCTGAAAAATAGGTATTTTGATAGCATTCTATAACTAATGCTTAAGCTACTTTATGCTCAAATTTTTATCTTCTCCTCAGAATTTCTTAACCCTGTGTAGTAGAATATTCTGGGGGACTTTAAAACATGTTGATGCTGATTCCCCATGCCAGAGATTCTTCTTTAATTGGTTTGGTGTGTGGATTAAGCATGAGTAAGTTTTAAAAGTTAATCAGTTGAGTCTAATGTAAGTCAAGATAGAGAAACACTAGCCAGTGTTTCTAAGCATATATTATAAATTAATTGCTTGCCAAAATGACCTACAAAATATGTTCAGAATGAAGATGACCATATCTCAATCAACACCTACTGAGACAGAATATATGGGGGTGTTGGGTGTTGGGCAGAAATTGGTTCTAAATAACTTCCCTCTTTAAAGATCATTTGACAGGCTTTCTAGATAAAGGTGATATCCACGCTCCTCTTTTTGCAATAGCCAATTTTTAACATGATTGTTATACAGCACAAATACCAGTGGATAGTAAAATAAATTATCTATCTATATACACACATACATATGATTTACGTACAAACATATTGCTAGAGAGATATATACATGTATATATTTGTATATAATAGAAACGTGCATATAATATGCATTACACATAATGTTATATAAAATACATTACTGGAGATCTATACATATACGTGCAGACACTAACTATATCCTCTAACAAGAGTTAGATTCTAGTTTGGAAGGCCTGCATTTCTTACCTTCATGCTTATAGCGGAGAAGGATTACCTACAGCTGTATAAAGTACTGCATGTAAGGCTCAAATGGGTAGCTGTGCAGTCAGTTCTAATGTTCTCTGACCAATTCTTAGAAAGATAAAAACCCAGAGGCATTGAAAAATACATTCTGAGTACTACTTATGAGCCATGATTATATATATTTTATAGTTCTCTTGTTATTGAAAACTGTTCTTGAAATTCAGGGAGCCTGACAGTCTGTCGAATGCACAAAACCTATTAAAAAGCAATCTGAAATGCATTTCAGGTGAAATCACTTTTACCAAAGTGCAGATCATTTCATTTATTCTAAAGACATATAATTAGAAAGGAGACTGAATTGGTATTTTTTTCTTTTTACAACATAGCAAAAATACATACTTCTTTATTCTACTTTCATCATGTACATTTTTCTGGAAAAAGTCCATGTCAGAAGAGAGTGATTGTTTTTCTCTTTTCATGGACCTCTATAGTACGTACAACTCAAAATATTTTAAATAGATTTTTGAGTGAAAACAAAAACATGATAAAAAAATCAGAAGATATTATTTATCTTAGCCTTATCTGCGCGTCAGAAAATTAAGACAGTGATGAATTACATGTTACTGCACAAAATTTTATTATCAAAGGAAAAATTCAAATTAGTTCTGTTTAAAATACAGAAGACAAATTCTCTCATTTAGAAAAATCCATTTTGTTAGTGTTTGGTCAGAATGGAATAAAAATTTCATGTTGAATACATACTGATTCAATTTTTCCTGAATAATTTTAAAGGCATACTGTAGAAAACATTTATCTGCTAAACTAACACAAGGTTATTTATTTGGTAAATGCTCTGGTAGCCTGTATTTACTGAAGAGCAGTTACTTTATTATTCTTAAATCATAAAATATTAGAAAGGGAAAAAAATGTGCTTCCTGTGATATATTTTAAATACATCGATTCAGTTGGAGAATGTTTTAGGAAAATAAACTTTGTCACTAAATCAAGTCAAATTCATTAGGAACAGTCCATATAATATACTTTAAAGATCATTTGATAAATTCAGTGGTGTCCAGAAAACCAAATATGAAAATTCAAAGTAAACTTTATCTTATCATTCAAGTAACTGAATAATGTACAAACTGCAGAGTCCTAATCTGTTTTTGAAGATTATGAAAATGCAAGAGAGACTAGAATATAGCAATGCGATAATGTCAATATATTAATATATAGCAGTTTATAGGTAGCAAAATTTAAAAGGAGAATATGAGATTACTATACATGATATTTTAAAAGGTAGAATACAACATTGGAGAGAAATTCATTCAATAATATTTTGTGGGTGGGAATTGATAGTAAATTTGACTGAAAATGAACAACAAAAATTTACTAATGAATTTCTCATCCAGTAGTCTATAGGCTATAAGAAGATAGGTACAGAATTGTGCATAAGAGCAAGGACAATACTATGAACTTCTCAGGGATTAAAAGGCTGTCTATGGAATGATTAGCTTAGAAAATAAATGCACTGCACATTCAAGGCAGATGTTCTTAAGTCCACTGTAATATTTTCTACAAAATGCTTCACTCTTTCATTTATTTACATGACATAAGAAAAATGTGTGTCATTAGAAGCAGTTGACCTGTGCAGAGGCAAGTCAAAGCAGTTATCTTAGACTGTATCTACACACAGCAGGCCCATTCAAAATGCAACTGCAAGTAAATTAAGCAGTTGTGGTCCACCTATAGTTCTAAGCAGAAAGAGAAAATACTTCTCTAACCTCTTTGCTAAGTAAAAGGAAAGTTCTGATTAGACTAATACATCTCCTCCATGTGCAGAGATAGCATTTTTGTGGTTCACTGGTGAAGAGCTTTACAATCTACCCTCTCTTTCCACTTACTTTTCATGGCTTATTGGCTGGAGTACCTGTTAATTGTTTGTTATAATTTAAACCCACTTCACAGACACATGAATGTTAAACAGTTTTTTAAGAAAATATTTTTAGATGTCAATGAACTTTTATTTTATTGATTTATTTATATAGGGTGCTGAGAATCAAACCCAGTGTCTCACACATGCTAGGCAAGTGCTCTACCACTGAGCCACAACCCCAGCCCTGAGAAAGTTTTGATGAAAACGGTTTTATAGAATGTATGAAGTAACCATGCTAAGAAAGGAATAACAAACCAGAATGTACTAATTAACACTTCTTTGTAATGAGCCAATAACAATGAGAAATTGAGCTAAGTGTCCATCCACATCTCCCATAGAATCTGTATAGATAATCATGTTTCCACGCATGCTGCAAGCAGATTTATCACCAATTTGAGCCATAGAAGATTTGTGTTTGTAGTTCTGGAGTCCAATTAAGACTACCATTTAGTTGTGTAAACTACTGGGTTTTAGCCTCTCTACTCACTGATAATTAGAACCAACAACATTTCACAAGATTAGTAAATGAAAAAATATTGATAAAGTGCCTGGAGTTTAGTGGACACTCAAATGTTCCCACGTTTCCAATATCATAACTATAGTACAAAAGGTTTAATTCAGGAAAAAAACAATGGTTCAGTCACTTTTTTGATTTTTTTCTTAGTGCATGAGTACATTAACTAGAAATGTCCAAAGGTAAAAATCTTTGAACTATTATCCTTATAGTACTAAATGTTCAAATTTAAAGACACTAAAGTGCAGTTTCTAAAATCTGGATAAAATCATGCTATCTACTGGTTTGTGAAAATTTATCTAAAAATAAAATGCACAATTTGACGTGTTATAGTTTGGATGTGGTGTCCCCCAGAAGTTCACGTGTGAGACAATGCAAGAAGGTTCAGAGAAATGATTGGGTTAACCAATCAGTGAATTAATAACCTGATGGGATTAATTGAGTGATAACTGAAGGCAGGTGGTATATGGCTGGAGGAATTGGTCATTTGGGGCATGGTTATGGAGGTGGGTCATTTGGGGCGTGGTTATGGGGTATATATTTATATCTGGCAAGTGGAGATCTCTCTGTTTCCTGAAAATCATATGAGGTGCTTCCCTCCACTGTACTCTCTCACCATGATGTTCTGCCTCTCCTTGAACCCAGGAGGAATGGAACCTGCTATCTATGGATTGAGACCTCTTAAACCATGAGACCTATGAAACCGTGAAATAAACCTTTCCTCCTTTACAGTTGTTCTGGTCAGGTCCTTTAGTCACAGCGCTGAAAAAGCTGACTAAAACAAAACATATGCAATATATAACATCAAACCTATATTTTCAATAACTGTTTTAAAAACATATTTGAAAGTTTTAAAACTTTCTTTCTGTAAATTTTGAAATAAAATTTCATAAAAATAGAGTATATTTTTGTTACGACTTTTCATGATTTTTAAACCACATTAAGCAAAAATTTTTTAAAACCTTCCTGACTCAAACCAATTAAACTAAAGGATAATATAATTAAAACTGAAATTCCAGAATAATTTATCAGAATATTTTTGCATTCAAGTCCACACACACTAATTTGAAGGAATAACTGATTGCCTTTAAATATTGATAAATCTATTTATGTTGTATAATGATTGCCTTAAAATTACACATTGAAAATGTACAAATAATATTCTAAAATTATTTTAGAAAACTTAAACTATTTTTTCATAAGTAGATTAAACAATTTTCACTGCAAGTTACCCATGTTGGTAATCTTCTTAAACAGCTTTTTCCAAGGATAAAGTCTATCCCAATATTACAGCTTAAGCTATATGATTTTATTATAATTTCAAACTGCTACATATTTCCATAAAACATAAATGTTGTGAAATCAAACAATAAAAATTGTACTGAAGTTTTGAGTAGTGTACAAAATAACTGCATATTATCTCCACCTAAAAATAATTTACCTCCTATTCTGCATCATGTATTTATTTTCCACATTGCCCTTCTTCTGACTCATTTGTTATTTCTTTAGACATTTTGCATTTATTGTGATGTGAATTTCTTTATGCATATTAATCCCTGTCTTCCTTTCCCTCACTAAAATCCTAGTGCAATAAAGATTCGAAATAAATATTTCTTTAATTAAATTGAATTCTATGAACATATAACCAGCACTGTCAAATGATAATTCAGCTATGACCACTCAAAACAGGTTTGGAAATATTAATTTCTCATTATATGTGCCTTTGCTACTTCTTGAATAGGGATATAAGGTTACTTCATTGGAGCACTCAAAAGAATAAGCAAATTATTTCAGGTTCTGCAATCTCTTAGAAAAGAATTTCTTATAATTTTAATTGCTAGCATATTTTCATTAAATATATTATCATAAACTTTTTTAGAAATCTCTTGTATGCATCTAATACAGTGGGATAGTTTCACAAAAATCATTTTCTCACAGTTTAGTCTGCATAGATTTATAAATATTTTACTGTATGTTATTTTCAATGATTTAAATAGATAGTATTTTATCTGCATTTGGACCACCTATTACTACTGTCAGATAAGATTATTTTGTAAGTAAAGCCAATTATCAGTATTTTAAGATTAGGCAATGTTCAGCAAAAGACATAAAGAGGAAAATATAACTATAAATTAATTTTTTTCATCCCAACTACTTAAACTGACCAAGATAAATACAGAAAAACATCATCATTCAGTTATTTGAAAACATGAAAATTAGAATCAGAGACTTTAAGAAATAAGGTACTTATTGCAGTTATATTTAATTTTGTATTTTAAGGCTATTCTAGTATTTGCAAAATCTCCAATTAGTGCAATCAATAGAGGAATTTTAAACATCTATTTTTAGTTTAATTGTAGAAAAGCTATATTAAGAGTCTTAGGTTATTATATCTGTTCCCAAAATAACTGCAATTTTAAATAGCTCATGTTGCTACCATGAGACTCAGTTTCATTTTAGCATATAGAACTAAAAATGCTTTGTGTTTTTTGGAGGAGTCAAATAAAACAGCATGTGTGAAAGTTCTTGAAAATGAAAAGCATTTTATAAGTTCATGGCATAAGCTTATAACTTTCTAAAATAGTAGTTATAATGTTTGTAAATTTTATTAACACAAAAAATCTGAGTTCTATGATACAATTATCCAGGAAATACTATAAACCAAGGTGAGTTTAAGGCCCAGCTAAAATACATGCTATGGAAATTTAAGAACAGAAGCATCATAGATATAGCCTTAAAGGTTGAGATTATATATATTAAAAACTTCAAAGATTATAGGAAATTTTTAAGGAAAAAAATGTGTAAAAATTGGGAAACCGGTTTATTTACATGTCACCTGGAAACAACTAATACCCAACATGGTATGGTAAGTAATTTGGTCTTTTCTAATGGAAAACAAGTTTTCTTCTTGTACATATATTGGCACAGTAAATTTTTAACACTAGATGCTGAACACTTTCAACAGTGTGTGGTTTCATTCATCTTTTTGATTTGTAAAGCAGACAAAGAAGAGAGAACAGATAAAACTCTAAGTAGAAAATATAATTTTATAACTACATCTTACAGAATATTCCAAGAGATATCATTGGTTATTTTATTATTTTGAAAATATTACTTATTAAAACAACTAAAAAACGTTAAAGCCTGATATAATTTCAACATTGGAAAGGTTAAATTACTGAAAAATATGTAGAACAAAAATGCCATCTCAATGCCATTGGTACCACTATACTGTTGAACAATTATTATATGAGGTATTAACATTGCACATAGTTATACACTTGGGATTTGATATTGTAGCTAAACCAGTTGTTCAAGGCCACTAAAATACTGAAAGAGGATTATGATTATTAACAGTGGGGAGGAAAAAGAACTGTAAAAGCCTTTCTAACTCAAATTTGAAAATGGTGATTTCACTCACACACAGACACAGACACAGACACACACACATACACACAATGCCACAGCTACTAGGAATTTTCAGTAATTCATGACACAAAACAAGAATATCCACCTCTAATTTTTATCATCTCTATTACATGAATATCTGGGACCTACACAGCAATGTGATGGTATTATCATGTTTTAGAACTTTCCCCTTAAGGAATTTGTAAATTTGACATGTAGTAATTGGATTCCATTGCTTCTGATGGGTGGTATAACTTTTAGATTTTATACGAAGCATTTTCATGTTTTATTAAGACTACACAGAATATTTAAAATTCATGTGCTTCAATTGAACAAAATACTGAACATTTTAGGTATGAGTAAAGTAGCAAATGCTTAAATAGTAAAATTCAATTTTAGGTGGTACTTATTCTATGGGTTATGAAATTGCTCTTCTTTTCTATAAACTTAAAATAATTCTATGGCTCCAGTCTCATATACGTCTAAGGGTCTTTTCAGTATTCAGTGACTTAATTTCAGAACACATGTTTCAATGATTTGCAAGGTTTGGAGGAATGGAACACCTCAGGAAAATAGGAAGTGGTCCACAAAAATTTGGCTTAAGTATAGTAGTTTTATTGGTATTTAATAATGGTAAATTTAAAATATGTTAATTCTGAAGCATCTAAGTAGTGTTTAAAGAGTTGGCCTACTGGGTGAAAATATCATTTAAAAATATTTTGTTATGTAATACAAAGCCAATGGCTATTCAAAATTCCCAGGTAGAATAGAGTTGTCAATACTAAAGGAAAGACTTTGTACATTAACACATGAAAAGAAACTTCTTATCTCAAGGGATGGCACAAGTGGCATAAAAGGTCATTAAATGCTAATAGACCTATTGAGGTATGGTTGCTTAATGGAGGATTGGAGCAACACAGACATAAAGACCAACACACAGAGAGCAACTTTAACTCTCCAACATGAGATGGACAAACAAGATGGAAAATAAACACTTTCTCAGTATTGGCAGTACTAAGTTTACACAATTATTATACTGAATAGAACATCTGACCAATGATGACACAATCTATATGCATGGCTGCTACTGATTTAGGAGACTTAGAAGAATGGTTTACACAATAAATTTTGTTAGGATTCATCTTCATGTAGTAGAGTAAACCATACTTCAGAAAGTAAATGAAAAATAAGTTGAGAAATTTAGTTAGGAAATAGGAAGGATAATGTTGAGATAAATTCCTCTAACCCTTTTCCAAACATCTACACATTTATAAAAAGAGATAAATTTTCTTAGATTTACGAGATTCTTTGCACGTGTGCAGTGTACAACATACTATATACATACGGGGCTTCCCTATGTACATATACATATGTATACACTATCTATATGCCTTTTTAAATGTGTACAGAGCTTTAACTCAAAGAAAGTGAGTTAGTAACACAGTAATCATTGCCAGACAATCCAAGTGCTGAAATAAATGACACTGTTCACTTAAAGGGTTATTTTATCTCTCCCATTGTCTAACACTAAGAATCTAACTACCCTTTTTAGTTTTTCTTTCATTGCAACACTGATTGTCATAGATAATCTTTGTGCTTTTGCATAATGCCCATCCTGGATGGAACATATATTCACATACAACATTGGACATTTTAAATAAGCATGCTGGAACACAGGCAGGACCATACATCCATGCACAGAATATTCTGAATATGATTTTTTTTTTCCAAACTGACTGCAACATCAACATGCATCACTATCATATTTGGTCCTGTACAGCAAGGAATGTACAGCTGAAGCAACCATGGCAAGTTTCACTTGCAAGAGTTTCTCTAAAGAACACCCAATAAAGAAACAAAAGTGAATGAATGAAACAAAAATTAATCCCCCAAACTAAAGAGTAAAAAAAAAAAAAAAATCCTCCCACACGTTAACACTGAAAATCTGGCCATTTTTTTTTTTTTACACAGCATGTTTTCCTCATTCCACATAAAACAGGTCCTCTTCCAAAAATCTCAGTCTTTTTTTTTTTTTATAAGAGACACATATTAGTGCCTCAGAGCTTTCCCCAGCCATTGGAAGAGCTCATCTTGATAAAGCATTTTCCAGCGCACATTGGCTTCAACGGTTTCCACAGCACGTGAGAAAGAGGCAGCAGCTACCCCATCATAGCTCTTCATGAAGTTCTTTAGCTGGAAACAGAAATTTAAAATGATAAGGATGCATGTCTTAAAATGAACTCATATGCAGCATATTTGAACAAGAATCCCTTTGAAACAAAAGTGCCACAATTGAAACCAAGGGAAATCCTGACAAGCCCTCTAGCTTTAATTGCCTCTAGTTGCTTGCTTTTAGTTAACTTAACATCCCTCATTTTGGAGGTCATGCAACTGAGCCACATATTGTTAGTCTCCCTCCAACTCTCCTGTAGATAACACTGTGGGCCATGATGACAATGGTAGCTGAGGTTACTTTGCAGGGACTTGAAGGCTACTTTTGTTAAAACCACCGACTCTTCTCTTAGGCCTAAGCAGGTGTCCAATAGGTGACCTTCTGATGTCAGACAACCAAAAACTCCACTCTCAGATCATGCTAATGCCATAATTTTCTTCATGCATCCTTTGAAGATTTATGAAGAGTGACTATGCCTGCATAGATCACTGATTACATCCCCTCTGATCACTGGTCCCCACACCTTAAATCACCATGTTTCTTCATCCCATAAATACCCCTGTAAGAGAGACATATTTGAGAGCTGGTCTCTCTCATCTCCTTGCACTTGGCTGCCTCTTGAATAAAATCTCTTTTACAAAACTTATTTAAAGATTGGTATTTATTTGATATAGTGGAATAAGTTTAGTAATGAAAAATATAATGGGCTGGATCAATTAGGTATGATATAATTGATTATGGAATGAAAAAGAAAAGAAAAAAGGAAGAGTGGACATTGATAACAATAAGACTCCAATTCAGCTTCTATGTCATCAATAAATATTAAAATGGAAATACTTAATTTTTCTTTCAAAATAGGTTGATGAAATTGTGACAAAGACTAGTTCTAATTAAAAGGACCATTCAATGTATAAAAGAACCTTATGAACTGAATACAAGGATTAAAGTTCACACTTTGTGTGTGAAAATTATTCTTCATCTTCTACAAATAAGCAGAATAGGGCTTGGACACTATCTCCAATGTCAAGGGATTGCCAAAGTTATTGGAAGGTAGAAAAAAGTAATGGTGCTATACAAACTGGATGATAAATGACATTCCAATAATCCGAGTAACTAGATTTGGAAAGAATAAAGAAGAAATATGGTCTCATTCAGCTAGAGAATTTAATCATTTAGGTTAGAATTTTTAAGTGCTTTTCCCATAATTTTTATTGATACGAGATTTATTTTGAGAGTCCACATCCTCTGAATTGTTCTTCAAGATTTTCAAGTTCTTCCTTATGTTAGATACATCTTTAGAAACTGTAAGCAACCAACTAACAGTTGCAATGTTCATAGACAAATGTGAAAAATCAACTTGCAACACAGAAATGTTATGTGCTGGAATTGACGTGGGATCACATGGCGGCCCACAGGGAGCAAGTGGTGGCAAGGAGACATGGTCCATCAAGATAGACTCAGGGACAGGGAAGATGGGGTAGGGTTATTTAACATGCAACTAATTGTACCTTTCTAAAATAATTTAGAATTTAGTTCATGTAGAGCTTAGTCAGTTAAGACATTGTTACTTTGATTACATGATACTGATGCGTTCTCTCAAAGTCTGTTTTTCCACAAAACCTTACATCTGGCAATACCAGCAAAGAATAATTGTATCTCAGCTATAGCCTTGACAGGACTTCAAAATAATTGTACTTTTATAACAAACATGTAAAATATCCAATGTTTAACAAGTACTTACCGGTGCTATCCTAAAAACTGATCTGATACTTGACCACATTTATATATATTAAGGTAAAAGAAAGAAGAAAGGAATTGGAATTTATTAAGTATCTCTAATACTCCAGGCATTGCCACAGACACACAGATACACACACACACACACACACACACACAGAAAGGGAAGTCTAAAGGAATTCTTGAATCATAATTTGAATCTTTAGCTAATTAACACAATAATATATTTGTATTTACATATTTATGGTTTATACTCATCAGGTATATTTCCATAAAGCAACAAACAAGACATTTTATTTTAGTTTGGCTGGATGACACATGCCTGTTATCCCAGAGGCTCAGGAGAGTGAAGCAGAAGCATCATGAGTTCAAAGCTAGCCTCAGTAACAGCAAGGCACTAAGTAACTCAGTGGGACCCTGTCTCTAAATAAAATACAAAATAGGGCTAGAGGTGTGGCTCAGTGGTTGAACGCCCCCTGAGTTCAAGCCTCAGTACCAAAAAAAAAAAAAGACATTTTGTTTGTTTTAGATTTTGTGATTTAACTTCTTAGAAAAACATAACATTATAGTGACACTATTCATATATTATTTGTCAATCAAAAATATATTCTTTTAAAATATGTTCTGCATAGTGATATTTTTCCCACAGCATGGAATATGCCAGATGGTGATCAACACCATTTTTGCAACTTTAACTCTGTGGCATGTACTCTTGGACTCTTTATGAAGCCAGCCTAAACACGTGAAGAAAAATTCTTAAGTTGTCCTCAAAGGCAAATGATGGGTTTCAATATGAATGTATTATTGACACAAGATGGTAGGTTAGATTATGTTATAAGAGAACTCTCAACAGACAATGTAACTGGTGGTACTCTAGGGGTGCATTTCTTAGGCCTTGTGAGCTCAGAGCACCTGAGGTGACTCATAGCACATCTTGAGTAGCTTATTCATCAGAACACATCTGGTTCACTTTCCACTGTTGCCACAAATTGATCTCACAGCCGTATTCCTCCATAGTTCTTGTGGCAAACATGGTCAGAACAGCCATCTAACTGGTGCTAGAGGGAGACTGCAGTGCCTTACAGACCCTGTCTCACTTCTCAATTTACAGAGTTTGGGATAATAAAAAAGGCATTTATTACTCCAGTTTGATTATTTGCCCAGCTCTCTGGTAGGCTTTTTTGTTTTGTTTTTGCTGCTGCTATTATTTTTTATCATGTTTCCTAGATATTTATGCCATGTTATGCTTTTATTTTAAATGCTGCAAGTTTAGACATTTTTATTAAATAACATTTAGTAAAATGTCCTTTTTTGTGCTCCCTAATTTTCTTAGCATAAAATTTCTAGGCATATTTATTTATCTATTAAAATATTTTAGCATTAAAATATCTCTTATGTCAGGATATTCCAGACCCCAACATTATAAAGTAAATTATCTTTAGAGTAAATTATACAGCATACTATTAGTAACTACATAAACAAATAGTATTAGCCATTGTCCTAGTATGAGGCATATGTCTTCAATATTCCATGTGTAGATGTGATATCTGGGATCCTCTTAAAGAGTACTATATTGACAGGTGCAGACAGTGTTACTTTTTGGACATCAGTATGGAAAAATGACAGGATCCTCTAAGGTTCCATGATATTATACTTCCATTAACTTAAAATTAAGTGAATGATGGACTGCCTCAAGAAGAAATATAGTTCAAACTACTAGATCCATGTAATTAAAGGGAAACTTCAGTTTCAGGTACTAGAATGCAGTTTTGGACAATAGAAATTTCTTACAAAATTCCCCTAAAGCTGATGAGGATCATTAAAATATCAAAAGAGTTTTCAGAATTCATAAATGTGCAGATTCCCCTTTGATCTATGAATCCTTGGAAATGCTGTACCCCAAGGGAGCACTTGGGTTTTCTGTTTATGAGGCTCAAAGGTTATGGGATATTTTGAGTGAATGTTACTTAGCCCTTTCTAATTTAAGGAAGAAGGACTGTCATCAGTACAAATTGAATCCCCCACCCCACCTGAAAATATGTGCCTCGTTCCTGTACAAACAGTGAAAAGTATGAAAGCATGTAAAAGCCTCTGGAAGAAAAGGTAAAACTAAAAAGTCAGAGCAAGTAAGGCTGCGATGAAGAGATTCATCCCTCATTCCACTGTGAACCTGCATTGTGAAATTAGCTCCTTTGTAGATGGAATAAAATAATGGAATAAAAGCCACAATTTAATTTCATTTATTAACCTCTCATGATAGGGGCACCTTGGAACATCTGAAGTGGCAATTTAAAAAAGCATAAAAATTAAATATATAATATGTAAAACAAAATGGTCAACATGTGATAAAATAATTAAATGTTCATCTAAAAGACATTATTTTTCATGGCCTGAGAATGAGCAAATCAAGAAAAATATGAAAGAGAATAAGAGAAAAGGGAAAAGAAAGACTAAGGGAGGAAATACAGGAGACAGGTGGGAGGAAAGGGGATAGAAGAGGAGAAGACAGAACAGTAGAGAGGGAAAGGAGCAAGGAGGGGCCAAGAGGGGAGGAGTAGGGAGAGAGATTTCACTTCTATGTTCACTTGAATGGCTGAGCAGATTGTGACTAAATGTCTTTCATCCCCAGACTATTGAATATAAAATCATGACATTAAAAGTACTTCATTTAAATACAGAGAAAACTGAAAGCCATCATTAATTTAATTGTTCTTTCTGTTTCCTATGGATTGGAAAAAAGCCTTTCCATTTAGAATCTTTTATTTAAAAAAAAATAGTGGAAAAATGTTCTGGGATTTCAAAGCTAAATCCTTTAGGGTTGGGAACACACATAGCAGGGATAAAGGCGGAATTTCAAATCATTACAACCCAAGCCTTGGCTTAGCCTACTCCTGGTGTGATAGAATCTAAGTTAGCTCATGGGGTATGATCTCAGGAAATTGGGCAATATTAGAAGATATTAAGGTTGGTGCCAGGAGAATGCTGCTTGATGGGATTAGCTTTGGGTAACAGCATCAAGCATTCTGTCAGTGGAAACTGAGGAAACCATGATCCTCAATGACAATTATCAGCTACATTTTATAAAAGTGGACAGCAGAGGAAAAGACAGTTTGAAGCTCATATCATTATAATAAATCAAAAGAACCTATGGTTTGTCCCTTTCTTCTACCTGCTTAACCCTCCCCATTTCATCTCTCTTTCTGTTGGTATGTGAGTTAAGAAGGGAGGAGGATACCTAGTTTATATTTTTGGAGAAATAAGTGAGAGGAAAATGGAAATGTTAGATGAACCCTAGTCCATAAAAAGTCAAGCTTATTTTCATTAATAAAATTCATTTGTGATTGTGCCAAGCAGAAATTTGAAACAAATTATTAATTGCAATATATATTGCCAGATACATGACTTTCCATACACATGAAATCATTCTGTATAACAGCCTGGACAGCATAAAACATAAAACATTACTATCATGTCCAGTTATCTGTTGTCTGCATAGGGCTGACCACAAAGCTGTGAGACTCATGTTCTACACCTTAACACCAACCTTTGTCCTTAATACAAGTACTAAGTCATTGGTATGATGGTTTTGTAGGTTACTTGGGTTCACAGAATCTTCTGAAGAGTGGCTGATTGGATCAAAGACTTCTGGAGTAGATTTTGGGACCCAACTTTAGAAATTATTACATTCAAAAACATTTTGCAGGCATTCAATGCTTAATATATTAGAAATACCTTTGTAAATAGAGAAGTCTTTAACAAGTGTGTGTGTGTGTGTGTGTGTGTAAAAGGAATGGGTGTGAATCTGACAGAAATAAATGATTGAAGTAAATGTGCAATTCTATGCTTATAAAACAAAAAATTAGAACTCATTTTAAAATATTTACCTCTTTGAGTTCACCTTCAGTATTAAGAAATTCTGTAACTCCACTGATAAGTTTGGAATTCATAAATAATGCTTCTCCATACCTCAAAAGATAAAAGAAAAAAGTCTTAATGTTAATATAGGTAGTAATTTAAGAAATACTACTATAAATATATTCTCAAGGGTTCCAGTCTATTTGACTAGGGTTGTCAGAGATTGCTAGATCTTGGAGCATTCAAGATAATTTCTTTAGGGGGCAAGATAGATGAAAAGAGCTATGGCTATGGGATACTATTTGATCCCATCTGATTTGGCTCACAGTGTTTTGGAGAAATGTAAGTTGAAGCAAATTTTAAAAATGTGAGTCCTCTAAAATTGGATTTAGGAAATACTGTTATATTTCCAAGCCAAGGATTGAGCAGAAATTTTAGAACTTTTTGACTCTAAAGCAACTTAGGTCACTGTAAGAGAAAAGCATGCCACCAAAGGAAGGAAGACTGCAGGGCCAACTAGTCATAATCAGTATGTCACACAGATATTTGGGTTTAATTAATCATAAAAGAAATTGGTATTATCCTACTGAGTTCTTAAAAATGAAGTCATATTTCTCAAAAATGTTCCCAAAATATTAGCATTATTTTCATGAGGATATTAAAATAAAATATCTAGTTGTTCATTTGGATTGCATAATTCTTGTGTCACAAACACAATTATTTAACTTTTGACCTGAGTCAATGAACATTTTGTGCCAGTGAAGAGAAGGAGTTCTAATTTTACTGACTTGTCTTTACTATGCTGATGATACCTAACACAGGTAATCATGTTCGTAGAAACAAGATAAGTATACTACAAAGAAAACTCTGGACAATTGGAAACAAATGTCTAGATGTCATCACATGAGGTTTTCTAATGTTGCCCTAGCCTATGGGACCTTAAGTAATTTAGTTTCTGTGGAATTTAATTTTTCTCATCTATAAAATGAGGGGCTGACCTGGAAGAAACCATGACATATTATAATTCTAACATAGAATTCCTCCATGGAAAAAAAGTTAGCTAAGCAAAAGCAAACAAATAATCATTCAAACAACATGAGTGACCACTAGTAATAAATTTGTGGTTACAGAAGTAGATTATTGCCCAGGAACAAAAGTAATTTTTTTTCTAAGGGAATGCCAATTATACATTCACATGTAGGTGAATAAAGCATGATCACAAAACCTCAAAGGTATTTTTCCATCTAGTTGAAGAGTTAGACATGTAAACAGATAATTTCCTCTTAATATAACTAAATATAGAGTTGATATTATTATACACAGTGTTCAGAGAACATCTCTTTAGCTGTGGGATCTGTGAGCTTCTGGCAGATGATGCATCTAGACTGAGAATGGTGCAATTTTGAGAAAGTAATTTTAGTGAACCAACAGTAACAAAAGCAGGAGGTGTGAGATGACATGGTGTGTGCAGACAACAAGCAATTTGGTATTAAGAGGGTATGAACTGTGAGGCTGGGAATGGAAGAACAAGAGGCCAGGAGGTACACAGAAGACATATCAAGGAGCTTAGATTGTAAGTCTGGCACAGAACCATGGAAAGTTTTACATTAGGGAAATATCACACTTGCTTTTCAGAAAGATTCTTGTGACAAAGGGAAGAGGCGTGTGTGTGTGTGTGTGTGTGTGTGTATTGGTGAATATAATTAGAGAGGAATAAAGAGGCTATTTTAAGAGTACCGTAGTAAAGAAGAAACTGCATTAGGGAAATGGTAGCAGGAAAGCAAAGGAAGAAATATTTAGAAATTCTGAAATTTACAAAACCTAAAACCTAATTGATAAATATGGATAGGAAAAGGGGGAAGCCTATATAGACTTCCAGATATGTGGCTTCAGCAATTGCTGATTGGCTATAAGGTTTAATGAGAAAAGGAAGACCAAGGGAAAATGATGGCATTGGTTTTTGCAGACATACCCCAGTAGTGATCTTGAGGAGAGATTGTCTATCATATGGAAATATCTAGAGTACATATAAGATGAAGATTTGGGAGTGATAGTGAGAATGTATGACAACTTAAATCAGGAAGAATTTGTAGAAGGTGAAGAATATATTGGTCAGGACTCCCACAAACTCCAACATTCAAGGACCAACAGAGGAGTAGGAGTAGATAAAGCCACTCCTATTTGCCATGAAAAGTACTACTGTATTTGTAAACACTCAAACTTCAAACCTCAATAATTTTACCTTTTGGATAGATATCATAGACAGGTGCATTCCACTGACTCTGAACTATAAAATCAGATACTCTCTGTATCATGGGCATTCTTGGATAGGAACTGTTATATATATATTAATTTTACCTTAGCTGGATGACTATACACTCTATTATATGCGTGACAACAAAACATAATCTAATATTCTAATCATTCAAAGTTCTGAACTGAACATATAGAAAAAGTCAATGTGCCATATAGGAATATCAATGCTTTCTCTCAATGATATATCTGTAGAGAGAAATGTGCTTTAATATGACATACCCATTCAAATTTAACTCATTATAACAGGACAGCTGATAAAGGTGTGCTTAAATAGTTTTTATATGAGTTTCTGAGAGAACAGTAAGTCTGCTTACTACTTGGAAAGAGTTATGTTTTAGAAGAACATGCAGCATTTACATCCTCTATAATAAATTTAATTTTAAGATACCATAGAGATTACCAGAGTAATAAATTAGCATAGATTATAATAGATTTAAATACATAATGAAAACTTTTCTAATATTGAGGATGAAAAACTCTCACCATGAAACAAGATATCCTGGGAATGAATTCTACTGCAAGTGGGACCACATGATGATTGAAATGATTAATGTTTCTTCTCTACTTCATGGTTTTATTTAGGTGCTTGATAATATTTTATTTAAAAGAAATTTAAAACAATTCTACAAAACAATTTGAGTTTCTTGTTATAATACCACTTATATCTTATTTATAAATCATTTTCCTATAATATATTCAGGATATAGGAGTTTTATGATTTCTTCAATTTTGGACAGTTTGATGGATATTCCAGGAAAGTGCTCTGCTAAACATTTTACACTCTCCACGTGTCCACATATCATTAATTAAGGCTATTAACCTTTAACAAATTAATAAGGTTAGAGAATTGTTTAAACAGAATGAGTTCTACAGAAGTGACAATATCCATCTTGGTTGACTATGTTAAAATGTAATCCTATTATTTGGATCTAAACTCTATCACAAAACTTGGGCTTTTATTTCTCATATGTCAGCTTTAATTTACACTTTCAGGTATGAATGATCAAATTCTTCTTTCTACCTGGTATTTAATATCTTCCATTTATCTCTAAAAAACTTCCAAGCAAGGTCTCGGCCATGGGGATTTCGAGCTACGTGGATTATGACATCAATTGCATCTTGATCCAGCACCACCTCAGAATTCAGAGACAGATTTAGAAGCCTATAATGATAGAATTATAGAGAAAGTTTTAGTTCAATAAACTTTACATTTTTATAATTGTACTAAAGTTAAATTGAACTAAAGTCTAGTTTGTCATATTCTTCAAAAGAATAGTCCAGTGCAAACTTTTTTCACATGAATTTAATAATGGAACAAATTTCAGTTTATATAAGGAGGAAGGCCAAATTCAAAGTGTTTTATTACATTAATTAAACTCTAAAAATATACATTGGATAGGGAAATCACAATTCTGATTTGATGACACAGAACTCCCTTTTAAAATTATTTTAGTAAACATTTCCTTTGATAATGAAATATTTTCTTACACACATTTATAAATTATAATGACATAATTAATCATTAACCAAGATATTTCTTAAGCCAGTAACTTCAATAAGGTTAACATATAACTTCAATAAGGTTAACAAGATATTTTTTTTCTGATCTTTAGGAAGATAAATTTTAGAGTAACAGCTATTCAAGGACATAAAACAACTTCAGGGGAGCCTGATTAACAGAGAATGCTCTCATTATAAAAATAGTTAGAAAATCGATTGACCAACCTGTTTAATAAATTCCTGTCATCACTACAAGTTAAGGCCTCCAACAATATCTTCTTTTCAGAAACTGCTGTAGTGGAGTGGAATTTCATCCATATGAATTCCCAAACATCTTCATCCAGTAGTGACACTCCTGTACAGTAGACGATGTCTCTAACATTTAATGGTATTCTAAAGAAGCAACCCATGGTGGTTTTCTGTTAATTCAAAGCTTTGTAGCATTGAAAATAAAGACAGAAAATGCTTTGCCATAGTTTTTACAGAGATTATTTTTTAGTTATATTTTACCTTGAAGAGAATAGTATTATGGTAATAATATTCAAATATATTAGTATGAATATATTGATGAATAAAATAATGGCTTTTATTCAAAGGAAGCTTTGAGTATAATTTTTGTTAACACTCTTAAAATTATATATTTAAACAAAAATAATAACAAAGCCTTGAAAAAAGAATAAAAAACAGTTGCATTATATTTTCAATAACATTAGTAAACTCTTTGCTCTCATAATTGATAGATCCAAGGACAAAATAGCGCTCATTGAAGACTAGTTAATTTGAATGAAACAAAACTACTTCCCTTTAATTTTTTAGATACTTTCTTTACAAGTAATTTTTCCAAACAATTCCACAGATTTTGTAACCTAGAAAACTGTAAATATAGATAATAAACATAATAAAACATACGTAGCAAGTTATGAGAAAGAAAAAAGTAATTTTTCTCAGAGTTCAGAAAAATGACTATTAAAAACATATTACATCTTGACCTTAATTCAAAATGAAATATGAGAATGTGAAACAGTGGATATAATTAAGCTTGGCTATTCATAAATCTTAAATTATCATGTCAATTTTTGACACTACGATTCTTTTTATTAAGTATTATTCCTGTGTCTGTAATATGCCCCACGAGTACTGACTTTTAAAAATATTTCTTTGAAGGAATACTCTGATGCTTAAAAGTTTAAAAATGTAATTCTGCTTTTCTCAATATTCATTAATTCATTATTAATATTTCTCATTTGTAATTTAAATATGGCCAATAATTATAGACTGTCTTCTCTGGATACCATAAAGGCACACTGATAGTTCAAACACTGCTTGAGTATAGCAGTACTTAGAAAACAGGAGGAGACTGAAGGGCTACCAGTGAGATGAACTCATCTCATTGTTAGCAGCTAAGTAGGGCTGCAATCAGGATATCCTGGAGACCTATAGAGTTGTAAAGAGTATCATATAAAATGCATGCTTCCTAGAGAAGGCTATACCTATACTATCTGTCTTTTCTCATAAATAATTAAAGTATTTAGAGAAAAGTTTGCTAACTGAAACCCTTCTTTGTGGTATTAGAGGGCAAGCATTTTGTTGATTCATTTAATTTGTTTTTCTAAAGAAACAAAAGGAAAACAGACATATATAAACCATCAAAGAACTTCACATATTTCTCTTGGCTTTCATCTCTGCTTGGACCCCCTGTAGAAAGTACCGACAAAAGACTTTCCAATGGCTGATGACAAGTTATTCTTCCCTCTGTTTATGGACAGGTTGCCACAGAGCATGCCTGAATTCACTAAGAAAAGTTTGTCACAAAATTGTGAAGAAAGTACTCATTCCTAGTAGATGCATCTTAAGATCACAGAGATGCCTCTGTCTTCAAAACTTCAAGAAGGAAGTTAAGAGACCCAATCATTTTCTAAATTCATAACTATCCATCAAATATTATAAGGCACAGAACACAGGATTGCGTTACTGCATGACTTTGGCCAAGATATTCACATATATACTTGTATAAAAAATAATAAAATATGCACTGAAATCACAAAATCATCAGCCAGTGAATATTTTCTTTGTTCTGGGAATGCTAATAACAGTTTACCTTTGAAGAGAACTTTATTAAGCTATTAGTATGCTTGAGAGAATAGGAATTGAATTCTAGAGTTAGTTTTGTGGTCACCCATAGAACTAGTTAGCCATGTTTTAAGTAAAAAGGCATGCAAAAACATTGGAAGGAGGAGGAGGAGGGAGAAGAGGAAGAGGAAGGGGAGGAGGGAGAGTGGAGAGGGAGAGAAGGGAGGAGGAGAAGGAAAAGAAGAGAAAAAGGAAGAGTAGAAAGAAAAGGAAGAAGAAGAAAATGAGGAGGAGGAGGAGATAAAAACAAAAACTATGTTCCTCAGAAAGCTCTTAAGTGCTACACACATAATATAGTCATTAGCAAAGGTCCAAACACTTATTATCCAGTAGCTGTTACTGGCTGATACTGAGCTGTTAAAAGACACATACACAAATATGTAAGTGGTTCACTCTGTCCAAAGTCCTGAAAACTGACTAAAGCAGCTACAGAAGTAGAAAATAACATTTTTAGGCAATACTGTGTTCTAGGTCACATGTCTTATTTTATTCTATATCTGAATTATTATTATTTTTTATATATCTGTATAACATCTGTTATCAACTTCTCTTTGCAATAGAAGGGGCTGTTTTGAGAGAGAATATTTTGTATATAAAAATGATACAACAAGTAAGAATGTTCAGTACATGAATGTTTTTTCTATCATTTCCAGCATAAAGATGACTAATGACAATAATTATAAATATATCTTGGTGTGGATTCCTTTGTAATCAACTTATTCAATGTCCTTGGTTTTCTTAGATCTGGAGGTCCATTTCCTTCCACAGTCATAAGAAGTTTTCAGCTGTTCTATCTTGAGATTTCTAGTTCTTTCTATCTTCTGCTTCTTGGACTTTCATAATGTGCATATTGGTCTGCTTGATGGTATGCTATACATTTCTTAAGCTTCTTTCACTTCTTCACGTTTAAAAAGTATTTTTTCTCCTCTGATGGAATTATTTCCAATGAATTGAGTTTGATAATCCTTCTGCGTGATATGTTCTCTTATTGAACACCTCTAGTGAATCTTTTAGTTAGATTCTTGTGTTTTACAGTTCTATGATCTGTGTCGTCCATTTAAAACAAAAAAACAAAGGCTGAATGTTTTCTCTGAGAAGCAGATGCTAATCCATAGTGGAGGAGGAGGATGAAGGAATTTTGGATTGTGCAGAGGGGAGTGAGGGGAGGCAAGGGGGTGTAGGGATGAGAAGTAAGGTGAAATAAGATGGAGATTATTACCCTATACACATGAATGCTTACACTAAAAAAAAAAAAGATGTTTATGTGGAACTAAAAAAATGTATTTTATTTCTTTGTTGAAATTTTAACTTTGTTTCTTGCATTTTTCTCTTAACTTTAGTAAGTTTCTTTATGATAGTTACTTTGAATTCTCTACCAGATAAATCATATAAGTCTCAGTATTACTTCTTATTAATTTAAATATTATTAGTCATATCTAAATCTTCAGTTTCTGGACATTTACCTTATTCCTGTTTGGGGAACAACTTTGCCTGATTCCTCATTTTTCCTTGACTCTTTGTGTTGATATCTGAACATTAGGCCCTGCTCCCAGTTCACAGGCTAGTTTCATATAGGAAAAGACCACCTATCAACCTGGCCAGAGATTCTGGGGACATTTACTAGCCCCTTTCCTTCCCAGAAAGAAGCATAAAGTTTTTGAGCTCTTACTCTGGCTGAGCTGGAGCAGGAACTGAGGCACCTACAGTCCAACCCACTGTCTTTATCGTCCCCTAGGTGGCATCAGATCTATCAGAACTCCTGCACTAGTAAATAGTTGTTAGTCCATTGAACAGCCTCAGACAAATTGGGGAACTAATTGTACAGGTCAACTCTTTCACTCCCCAGGAAGAAGCCAAGAGATGAAATCCCCCTCACCCCTCCACACACACCTGCTCTGTGCTGAGAAATAGGGAAGATCTATGGCATCTTCTAATCCAAATTGCTGTCTGTCCTTCCTCAGGTGGCTTGACTGTGTCAGAGAAGTTAAGAGTTCCAAGGCTGGTAAAGCAGATTCTAGTTCTTTTGGAAGCCTTGGAGAAGTCAGGGAATTAGATGCATGGATGAAATCTTTACCTTCCTAGGAGGTAACCAAGAATGGGGACTTTCTTTTCATCTGCTCACTCTGGGGAGCAAGGGGAAAATCTATGGTGACAAGAGTTCAAGCTGTCATCTTCCTTCTTCCTCAGATGGGTAAACTGTGCCAGACCTTTAGAACTACATGAGAGGCAAGATAGAAACCAGTCTTTTGGGGAGAGCCCTGGGAAAAGTTGGGGTACAAGATTCATGAACCATGAACCAACGAAGAAGCTGGGACCTATGGGGTTTCTTCCTGATCATATGATGCTATTCCCTGGGTAGAGATTCTGATGAATTATATCCTGAATCACCCTTTTGATTTTGATGAATCTGGCTTTACAGTCATCAACAGTGCAGGAGTCTTTCAATTAGTTTCCAGATGGCTTCCAAAGTAAATATGTCCATGAATTGTTGAGAAACAGGTATGTATGTCAGAGGAGAGAGGATGAAGAGCTTCCTATTCCAACACCTTGTTGCCATAAATCCAAAATTACTATATTCTTTAAGAGAGTACCACGCCAAGCCCCAGGGCTAACCAATGAACTTCAAAGTAATACCAATGTATTCAACATATAATCCTTTGAGAATTAAGGAGGCCCCACAGATGTCACCTCTAACTTGTTTTTATCTATTTTACAAACACACACACACACACACACACTCACACGGTTTAACCAATCATCTTTGAGAAATATTTGATGTTGGCAAGACTGGATCTCCAACAACAGTATTCATTAAGTTCATAGTACTTAGGCAAGATGATACTTGCTAAACACTACCTCTGAGTTATAGAAAAGAACATAGGTTGGCATATCTAAGTAGCTACTGTGTGGCAAGCTTGTCATACACAGGGCATTGAGAACAAATTTTGAAAGGATATCCAGCAGTAAAGTGTTGGATAAAATGACCAAAAGTCTAAAGAAATTTAACACAGTTGTCCTGGGAAGGCCTTTGAAGGCAAAGTTGCCCTGACAGGGAAAGATTCTACATCTGTATCTGCGTCTTCAAACTAAGACAAAGACTACAGAATCTTCATGTGCTCTGCAAGAAACATCAGGTCACGTTTCAGTCTTGTCAGCAGTGATCTCTTAGCACATAGCAGATGTATCAAATTAGATTACTATGAAAATGAAACACAAATGTTTACATATATGATGTGAAGTCTTTTGATGACACAATGAAAACA